GGGCTAGGATCCATCCATTACATTCTTTTGAGTACCAGGAACTCATATACAATGTGTGAACAAAACTTCTCCAAATGTAAGCATGAATTCTAGCCCTAATTTTGAATAATAAGTAGTCTTAAAAGCACAAATTACAGAGAGGTTACAGCACCGTGATACACTACAGTGACAATAAGATTCTTTACATGCCCCAAAGTCTTCTGTTTTATGTGTGGGTCTTGTGTTCCTCTCTGCAAAAGGATTTCATTGTTGTAAAGAAAACTTTTTTTTCTTCAGCATATCATGTTCATCCCTTATAAAGAAAAAAATTGTGAGCCTCATGGAAAGATATAATTACCGAAGCACAGGAAATTCATTGCTACAAGTATGAAAATTGTTTAGGATTATTTATTGGAAATGGATCAAATTTTCTCCTTTTTTTCTTTAATCAAAGTTAGCCAAGATTACTTTGAAATTATTTATGAAATTCCCACTACTCAATCATCGTTTTTGTTCACAATCTATAAAGTCCCTTCTTTATCTCCTTGTGTGCCAGTAATGTATAATATAATTTTCAATGAAAAACTATTGCTTAACTTAGTAATAGCTCAAATATGATCTGAAATGGTAATTACATAACATATATCCCTGTAATGATGCACTGTATAGTCATTATTTAACAGTATCAAAGGCAGGAAAAGGAAAAATAGTTAACATTGAAATATTTTTCATGGTTTAATAATGGCATATGCATTGTGAAGACAAATCAGTATTATGTTCAACATCAATGTCAAATTCATATCTCATATTCCTCAAAAGTGAAATTCCTGAAGATTCTACTTGCTCCTAACATGAAATTATGAGAGATGACTCAATGATGAGTGATGGTGACCTGAGACCTGAGATGAATCTCCTTATTTACAATGTTGAATCCTATGGTACGAGGTCTAGCACTGAGCAAGACTGGCGAGTGTCTTGATACAACACACTACTCAGCCATGTGCACCACCTTGCCTGCTCCCCTACAGTAAAGGTGGTGTGCTCTTCTCTACGTCATTATAATACAATCATAATTTTACCAGGTTCTGGAGTTTTCCACACCATCTCTAATATATATATACACACATATATTGTACATACATACGTCTTCAAGAATACTGGGAGGCTGAAGTAGTAGTTCAATAAAGTTTATTTTGCCAGTATGACAAATGGTAAATCAACCTTATTCAATCACTACGCAAGAACTGGTAAGAACATCCTTTCTTATTCAAATATACTTCCAATCTACCAGATTATGAAGATACAAGGGAAATTATGATTGCAGAATAATAATTTAAACTACTGTAATCTACATAATGGTAAATGATATGAGCTTTACAACTAAACTGTGTATGAAGTAACAACTTATTTATTTCAGTATTAACATCACTGGCTGTCTTATATTGAGAATTGGGGGACTACAGCTGTTGGCTTGCAGGTAGATGTAAGTAATATTTATAATGAGGGTTATTAATTAATTCACAAAATTATATGCTTCTCCTCAGAACAAGGTAAAAAGAATGCTACTCTAGTAAAGTGACAATGTTATATTTCATGTGCAATGGGATATAAAATACACTTGTTAAAAATATCCATTGTCAGTTTTTGAATTGATTAGAGACACAAATGTAGAATGTGCTAGGATGAACATGGTGCTGCTGGGTATTGCAAACGTGACATTGCACACAAAAAGGTCTGTGATAACTGATACCCGGTGAATGCTTTACACGCAGTGCATCATGGCTGAGTTTAAAATCTAGGATAATAAGTTATCTTAAAAGAAACTTATTACAGAAGCTTACCTTTGTTGCAGAAGAACATCCCTATTTGTGAAAAAAAATAATGACAACAAATAAACATGTAAGTGGGTTAAAAACTGTACCATGGATACAAAGTCTTAGGAATAGTTCTGCAACAAATAAAGTTTCATGTCATAAGCTGCCTTGTTTCTTTGAAGAATATCCTATTATGTCACCTTGCATGGGCAAACAACAAATCAGAAAGTGTGGTATAACAAGAACATCAAAGATACATCAACATGATAACTTGGCAGTCACCTAACACTGTACAAATAGATTACAATTTGCCAATTATGCTCTGAAAAGTAAAACTATATACAATATAATACATTTATATTAAGTACATTAGGATTAATTTCTAGGTTGAGGTGATCCTTGAAAAGCTGGTGCAGTTATTTGGCACGTTTTGTCTAGTACAGGAACCTAAATGTTGGCTAAATAAGAGCATGTCTGTCAAGTTTCATGGGGTGAGTTTCTATTTGAATAAACACCTTAAACAAATAGAGTTTATTTGTAGAAGTAAGGCATAATATCTGGTTGGGTAAAACAGAAAAAAAATATTCTCTGATCTTATTGGCCATGAAACTTGACTTTCAAGAGGGTTTGTTTTTTTTATTTTATTTTTTTTTTCTCTTTAGTCTAATGCTTGAACAAAAATCTTTGGCACCCTACAGCAAAGCTAACAAACTGGCAAATAACTCTACTTGCATATCGTTTCGCGATGGTTCCATGCTCATGTGCAGGGATAACGATAGGCTATAATGCCATAAAAATATTGATTATGTGACCTTAAGACCTTGAAAAAGAGATGCAGCTATAACAGGGGAATTTTGTTTTACAGTAACAAAAACAAATATCTAACTTGAACTACACTGAGAGATTATATTATATATGTAGACTTACATTGTCCTCTTTTTCAAGACCATCATGAAATCTATAGAACTTTATTTAGTTTCCTATATGAAAACCTATTGTTGTATATGCACATTATAGTGAGCCTATGGTATTTGCAAGAGAAAAAAGCAATTGCATATGATGTTATTTATAACAGGAAATGAAATAATCCACAGGTGAAAATACTTCTTATATACAACAACAATGGCACATGTCATTGTAAACTAGCAATAATATCAATAAAAAATCCTTGTTATCTTTGCAGTTATACACCATTAAACTGGTCTTAAAAAAATTCATATCTAATTGGGACAAGTGCCAATGATAAACATGACAAAGACTCCAGGAACGTATGGAAATACTAAGCTGTAACAGTCAGAGCAACCAAAGTGCTCCTTCTCTTCTCCTTTGGGTACTCGTAGCGCATAAAGCCTCACAGTTGGGCTTTGAGGAATAGACTGGGCTAAGGCCAGCCAGGCAGGAGTGACCGGGCAGCATGTGGGTCAGACTCGCTCAGGTGAGACGAGCAGAACCTAAGCAACTGTTGGCCATCAGCTTTCAACTGAAGGCTATCAACCATCAGTAATGAGCCAACAGCACTCATTCAGAAGCTGTTAGCTTACAGCTGGGGAGGGTGGGCACCGGTTACAGTGAGGGAGGGCATCAAGGTGGGCCCGAAGAAGGCTTGCGTCAGCTGGCCTCTGTGTTCAGGGCTTCTGTGGACCCTTGGGTGGCGTGGGGAGACTCCCGATCAGCAACACGGTGTATCTGCACAGACACGAGTGATGGATATGATGCTCCTGAGTTGGCGGAAGTGGCAGAGGCTCTGGAGGCGCGGCGTGAGATGGGGAAGAAGAAGAGAGACCCACGGGGAGACGTATCGTTCACAGAAGAGCGGGAAGCACGGCGTGAGCTAGGCCTAGATCTTTCTCCATCCACCTGTGGACACTTAGTCTTCTAAGAGTGATTTTAGGGAGGAGTATGAACATTGAGATCTTTCTTTACTTCTTTGTGTTGATTTCTTGAGAAAACTCTCATGATGCAATAATAATACCAGATCACAAAGAGAGAGAGAGAGAGAGAGAGAGAGAGAGAGAGAGAGAGAGAGAGAGAGAGAGAGAGAGAGAGAGAGAGAGAGAGAGAGAGAGAGAGAGAGAGAGAGAGAGAGAGAGAGAGAAAGAGAGAGAGAGAGAAAGAGAGAAGAGAGAAAGAGAGAAAGAGAGAGAGAGAGAAAAGAGAGAGAGAAGAGAGAGAGAGAGAGAGAGAGAGAAGAGAGAGAGAGAGAGAGAGAGAGAGAGAGAGAGAGAGAGAGAATCTTACCTGGAGGACGGTGACAGACCTTCGGCGAGGCATACTCATGGGCATTGGTACCGCCGCTAATAGGGTTGATACCCTCTTGAAACCAGAGCGTATAGACGACCCTCCCGGAGAGGAAGTTTTTGTTTGTGCCTCCTCTAGGAGTAAATTCTTCTTTTCCAACTCTCGCCGATGCCTGTGAAGAAAGCAGGGGTTACTTGTTGCCAAGTTGTAGGCTTTCATCGTTACAATTGCGTGTTTGATAAGCATGATCTTATATTCCATAATTTTTTTCTATATGCACACTGAAATTCATACACAATATGGGGAGAAGTAAATCAACTCATTCTGAGTAATAACACTATCACAGTAACCGAAAATGTGATTGTGAAGTGTGTGCTATACAAAACATGAACTTATTTCTTTGACTCGTTTGTTGCATACACAAAAGTACAACATTCAGATATCTCGTGGTTCACTTGAAAGTGCAGTGTTTCTATAGACTATCTGAAAACACCTGTTAGTGTTAGAATATCAACAAAGTACACCAACTACTCATATGCTTCAAAAGAACTAAGAATGACCTAAGCATTTCATTCTTCTGTTATTGGTGAGTTAGGTTACTGGATGTATCATATTAGTACAAAATAACTTCCCCAATGTAATTCTACTACTATATAGTAGTTTAAAGGGTTGTCTGCCTATTCAACTGCAGAAACAAGGAAGCTGAAGCTGAAGCACAAGTTGTCACCTCAAGAATTCACTCTCTTGGCAAATATGTTTAAGAATGGGATAACAGCATACCTAGGAGCTTCCTGATCTAGGCAGAAATTTTCTGTTTATAACCAGAACAGTTCTCCTTGTTTAAAAACCATACTATATTCTTATATCATGCACTTTGAGGAGAGTTTTTTTTTTTTTTGGTAAATACTAAGTAGATTATGCAAATAAATATTTTGTTTTAACAAAATCACAAAAGCTATTGAGAAGTATATCACATAGGATTAGATTTTTATGCAATGTATTTTTGGGGGTTTATTTAGCTATCATTTATTTCATAAAAGGGTTGTGGAAGTCTACAATGAAATATGATCATTAGCTTAGCTTGCACAAAGTCCTATATTTGTGTGTTACTATAGGAAAAAAAAGTCAAATAATTGTTATTGTTTATAATCTAAAGCATCAGAACAGACATTAGTGTTATGGCTAATTTTCAGCCTGTGATTTAAATTGATTGGGTCCATTTAGAGGAGTCAGATGTGCTCTACTTAGATCTCATTATACCCCAAAGCCACAACAAATTATATAGAAAAGAAGTAATGACTCTATGACCATCATCTGACACCCCATCATCAGCCTCTAATTGGAGCCCAGGAGAAACTTAATCATGAGCTGCCAAAAAATATATATGGATACGGTACAGTGGCCAAAAAACAGCAAGTAGTCAACATTCACAAATTTACGCTACTGTGGGAAGGCAGAGTTATTCCAGGCTCTGGAGCTGCATCTCGTTCCCCTCCTTGGTCTTTCCCTGAGAAGGGTTTCCTGTCGCTTCTAGTCTCGCTCTTTTTGCTCTGTAAGGTCATGGCGTGCAGCTGACAGACAGGTTCACAGGAGGATTCCCTTTCTTCTTTCTTTTTAATTAGTCTTTTCAATAATTCTTTAGAAACTGTGTTTTATACTCTAGCTTGTAATGTTTGTGGACTTAATCTAGTTATTTATGAACTCCTTTTGGTTTAAACTTATAATTTTAAAAATGTGAGTTGAAATGAGATTTGATATGTAATATTAGCATTTTCAGTAACCTTTAAGAAAATAATTCAATCCAAGTTTTAGAAAAATGAAAATCTTATTAATCCTCCTAAATGAATCTATATGACCTTACATTAAAAACATTCACATGAAGTGAATGTAAATGGATTTTTTTTACTTGATTTTCTTAATGCTTTTGCACTTTTTGAAGCTGCTGATTTCACAACCAGCTTTGTTCTGGCATTCAAACCAAAATATACATACATACATACATACATACATACATACATACATATATAATATATATATATAATATATATATATATATTATATATATATATATATATATATATAATATATATTATTATATATATTATTATAATATATATATTATATATATATATATTATATATATATATATTATATATATATTAATAATATATTATATATATATTATATATATATATATATATATATATATATATATATATATATATATATATATATATATATAATATTATTATATATATATGTAAATAATAATAATAAAAAACTAATAATAATTTTTTTTTGCTGGAATATTATCTTTAGCTGAAACAGAAGGTATAAGAACCAATTAAACATAAGAACATGGGAAGGTTAATTTTTGATAAGTATATGTTAAATTTCATCTTTATTAGCATTATTAGTGAAGCTTCTCAATTTAAAAATGTGGTTAAAACAGTCTTTGAAATAATACCCTTGCCAAAGGTTGTAAATAATACATCATACCATATGTATTATGTATCTATTGGCTAAGGACTGAATTATAAATACTGTTATTAACATTTGTTATTTAGTTTTTTATCATTAAATTGTACATTTTCTTAATATAGTTTTATATAATTCTCTTTTAACAATGAAATCCTTTTGCATTTGATATTTTTTCTTGTTTATTAATGTCACTTTATTCTCATTCATATCACTGTTCTGTTCAAAATTCACCTTTTTTCTTCTTTTGCAGATTTTTACATTTTAACTTGCTGTTATCTGATTTTTCTATCATTAAGCCGTAAGTTTTATTTTACAAAAATATATTTTCCTTTAACTAACTCCTTTCCCATTTCTTTCATGCTAAATGACAACTTATTTTCTTGTATTTCCCTTTCTCAACTCATTTGTCCTTCTACTTTTTCTTTTTACTTCCTCTCATATTTTCTCCTTCAATCTCTTCTGCAATTTAACCTAATCCTCAGCCATCCCATCCCAGATTCTTTAGTATCTCCTTGCCATGTTTCTTCCACATCATGTATCTTTTTTTCCTATCACACTGTCAAGAATGGTTTGATTGGCTGAAATAACTTCTTATACATTTTTTTTCTCTCTTTTTTTAAATGTTCTCTCTGTTCATCTCTGTTATGTTTTTTTTTTAATTTCTTGTTTTTTTTTAATGACTTTTCCATGCTTTGTAATTTTTTCAGCACAAAATTTATTGCATGTTATTAGGTAAATATTAATCATGTCTGCCAAAGAACCTTTGTAACACAAATATATGACATTGGAAATTGAAGATAAAAACAAACACAATTCCAAAGATTTGGGTTACAGATTTCAGTAATTCTGTAACTGAATGATACTTTTTTCACAGATATATTAATAATTCATCAAGAAAGAAGGATTACAGGAAGAAAAGAAGAAGATGAAGAAGAAGAACGGAAATACCACACATAGCTTTTAAATGAATTAAACTGCCCATATATATAACTCTTTCACCCTATTTTGCTTCAGCGGATTCATGAGTGGCCATACCTAAAGACCATCTCTGGTAAAAGAAATACTGAGGCTCAAAAACCCATCAAGAACTTACTTGAGGAAGGCCCGCCAGGCCATCTGGATGGTCTTGGCAGCTGAGTCCATCTTCTTCCAGCGACGCGTGGAGGATACGATCTCAAGCTCCTTGCGAGTTGGGAACTGCTTCTTGAACTTCTCTTCCATCTGCATCTTGAGCTGAGGGGGAACTAGGGAACTGTGAGCGTTAGTCGGTGGTAAGGCTCGCCCGAAGGTGCAGAGTGCAGACACTGCAGGCGGCTGTGCAGGTGAGAGTAAAGGGTGGGGGGGCGCGGACGCTTCCACACGCACATACGGAGGAATCAAGGACATAACAGGACACGCGAATGTTCTCAAAGGCAAATCGGGACTGGAGGCTAGGCAAATGTGATTCATTCAACTCAAATATACAAGTTGTACCCTTTATTTATTTCCAGAATATGAACTCTGAAAGATTTTGCCTTACATGCTGTGAACATTTCTACTGTTTGTGGTACTCAGCAGTGTAAGTGTCAGGCACAATCTCACTTCTTAGTTTGACAGAAGTATATATAATAACATTTTCCAGCTTTATCTGCTAGTAGTTAATATCCAGTCTCTCGGTGAGCACTATTTTTTTTTTCCCAAGGAATGACATTAGAGAACCAAATGCAGATATAGTTGAACAAAAATGTAAGAGACAATATTACAGGATTCTCATTTTGTTTTGAACAAACCATTTCATGGCATATATGCATCAGGGGCAGTTTCCATAACATATATGCAATCATAAACATTTTCCTGTGCAGGCAAAGGAAAGAGAGCAAGGAAAAAGAGAATCATTTATTAATATATGCTTGGTCAAACCTTGGGAAAGCAACAATAATGATTTGTTGTATATAGCAACAAAATATTCTTGCCATGATTCCTGATAAGACTAAAAGAATGTGCTTTGTGTCTTCCATCAGCAACATTCTGCCTTGACAACTTTCTCTTTCGGTATATCAGCTACATCCAACAATCATACCACACATCAACAACAACAACAACAACACCAACAACAACAACAACAAACAACAACAGTAAGAACATTAACAACAACTGTGAGAACACAACAGCACACACAAGCTATAGCACATCAAGTCAGACACTCTCCCTCATTGTGGGTCTACAATGCCATATGTTTTGTGTGTAAATAACAAAGCACTACATGCTGTTCTTGGTCTAGCCTGTCTCCTAAAGGCTTGTATCCATTTGCTCTACTTATACGCAGGATGCAAACGCGCCCACATGGAAAAAAAGCACACTGATAAGCCGTGTGTATGTATAGCATGGTGTGTACATATACTACAGGTGCCATATGCATTGCACAAAAGCCATATATATATAACACATATATAGTATACATATACATAAAAACATATACATATACCTATATATATTATTTATAATCAAATATATATACATCTTACAACATTAACTATATATATAACATTGGGTATGGGGGGTTTGGTTTGGGTTTAAGCCTGCAGTGTTGCTTTTAATATTTAAAAGGTTGCATTTAAGTATACTTGTCACAAACCTGTATTGGAGACAATCTGTAATATATCCAATTGTCTTTGGAACTTTAATAACCATGAATAAATCCACTGTTATCTTCATGTATTAAAAAGGGGGATGGGAGAATTTACAAAAGGTAGAGGATGAAAGGAGTATATAGCACAAAATCGTACTTTATACTTTCAAAATTTATGTACGTCATTTGCTTAAAAAGAAAATGGTCTTGTTTGATTCTTTGTTTCCTTCTTTTCTTATGAAGTCATAGCACTGAACTATTGCGGCAAATGAGGCTTGAGAAATCAATCAGGCATGAAAAATTCAGCAATAAATATTAATGGTGGAGTTTGAAAAAAATTATAGGCTTATAAAGACGTCAAAATGATTTAATAAGAAAAAAAGAAAAGAAAAAATTCTGGTACTCTATTTTTGGAATCTGGCTGAGGCTCTGATACTATGCTTAACTCTATCAATCATATGAAAATAACACAGAGAAAAGAACTAGTAAGAGAGGCCAATTTTAAATACTCAAAAAAAGAAAACTTTTTTCAAACCCACTAAAGAGTTGCAACAATCATCCATCATCAAAGATAATATAAAACATCCTCAATGTGATTTTCCAGCAGCCACATTCCGGATGATGCAAGAAATCGTAAAAGAAGCAAAGGGCTTGGGGAGGTTGAAGTATAAGCTGGGGCACAAGAACTCTGTGGCCTGTATTAGCAGCCTAAATTTACAGAAAAGAAGAAGACCAAGAAAAAATATGAAAAAAAGAAATAAAAAATAAAAAATAAATTTTCTTGTTAGAAAATCCCCTCTCGCCAAACTTAAACTGTCGAAAGAGGACTTGTATCAAGAACTGCGTCTCCATTTTTCCGTGAATCGAGTTGAAAAAACAAACCACAGAAGCTACCATGACGAGGGAAAGGGAAAGCCAAGAATGGGTAAATATGAGCTCAGGAGAGCGCTGTGTAATGAGGCAGGAAACGCTCATCCAGAAGGACAGTAAAGGAAATAAGCAAAGAAGATGAAAGTGTAGCTGTATCTATATGCACATCATAAGAAACCATTAAATGTACATGATAATGTTTAATCACGACAAAAATGACATCTAACTCAGTATCAGCCACTCTTGTTGAGTAGAACCAGTAAGAGATTACTAGAAAGAGATTACTATGAGTCTTTTAATCTCTTAAATGAATAATTTGATTAGTTTTTACTTTACGTATTAAAATAACTGCAGTAAACTGTGCATTATTTCTGAAGATGCTGACATTTCTCCTTCTAGAATCTCTATCTGCTCACTCATTAAACACATCTGACTCCTACCACACAACACCACCAACTGTACACAGCTCAACTTTTCCTAAAATGATGTAATGAAAAAAATGTATAAATAACTTGATGCAAATGCATAAACTGTACTATACAATAACACATTCCCTCAAATTACTCATTCACATCAACAGGGGCGTGGTTGAGGGCATCAAACAATGAGGATTTAGCCAAGGGACAAAGAGGAAGAGAAACTTTTATGAAAAAGGAAATGGGTATTTCTCTTATGCCCCAAAAAAGACTTCATTATGTGTAGTTGCAGATATATATCAGGAATTTAACTACGGCTACAGGGTAACTAAACTCACAGAGTTAAAAACAAACTACTGTTTGGTTACTGTACGGTAACAAGAGAAAGTCAATAATAATCAAGCCCCTAACTGAGAGGGCAGGAGGCCCACCAGTGACAACTGATAGTAATGGTGGACCACCACGCCCCTGGCATACTAGTAGACAGTAACTCTTGTATATTACAAAAAAACATCAATACTATATATAGTAATAGATGTCAATGATTGTGGATCTGCACACACACAACAAAACATGTCACATCACATCACATCCATCAATACACAAATGTGTCTAAAACAGATCACAAGAAATTTCCCACAACAGAATTCGTTCAGCTTTGGACCCTAATCTCTCACTCTATTCCTAGAAGAAGCAGAAGACACTCACTCTCTGAACTCCTCAGTCTCCTCTACATGCCCAGCACATGCTTGGTGAGGGCGTGGAGGATGTCCAGGCAGTGGATTTTGTCCCCTTTGGCTATAGGCAGGTCAAAGGACACAAGGGCAACAGTGTTTGGCTTAGGGATGCCAACGGAGCATCAAGGCTGGAGATGAAGTCGGAGAGTTGTGAAAAATTGATGAACTGTGTAGCATGTGGGTCATACCTGTTGAAAGGGATAAAAATATTATAGAGACTACTTTCTGTACTATACAGTGGTGTGTTTATATATGAAAGGAACAACTGTCTTTGCATAAAATGTATTCAACAGGACTAATGACTCATCAATGTCTGTAAAAAACTTGCCAAAAACAATCCTGTCTACTCACTTGGACCATCTAACATAAAACATCTCCAAGTCATCTTCCACAATGCCAATCTCCTCCTCCTTATGTGCTTGGTTAAAGTTTTCCAAAATAACAGCAATGTACATGTTAATCACAATCATAAAATTGATGATGATGAACGACACAAAGAAGACAATGGCGATCACAGGGTGGCCACAGTTGCCATTGGGCTGGTTCATATAAGTGACGTCGCAGTCCGGAGGTTGAGCCATGAGAGGGTCCAGGACGTCATTCCAGCCAGCAGAAGTGATCAGTCTGGAAGGAAAAAAAAGAAAAAAAAAAAAAGTTTCAGTTATTTACTTTCTTCTCTCTGTCTCAACCAGATGAGGGGAGATTAAATTGCTTTTTGTATTTGTTAAAATTTGAAAAAAAAAAAAAAAAAAAAAAAAAAAAAAAAATCCTTTTACAATAAATATTGGGTTACTGATGTTTATGGCCTTTATCAGAAACATGTTGAGAATGAACACTGTAGTATGAAAATGCTTATAACTTGTCTTGAGCTGTGAACTTGCTCATACTTTTTCAATAACTGTCACAACTGTCAATTGAACTGATGAAAGATTATCATAAATATCAAGTAATTTTGTTATCATCCAAGTTAATATCATCATTTTTACCATTATCATCATTGTTATTATCATCATTATTATTATTACTATTACTATTACTATTACTATTATCATTATCATTGTCATTATCATCATCATCATTATTATCATTATTAAAAGATAGGAAATCCCATGCTTATGCAAGTCCCATATAGAAACCACCAGATACTGAGCCAAAAGATGTGCCTGGCTTACCTGAAGAGAAGCATCATACTGCTGCCGAAAGTCTCAAAGTTGACCAGATCATCTAAAGCACCCTTCCGCTGCACGTGACCAAACACCGCCATTCGATGATTGCGTAGATGAAGGTGATGAGAAATAGCAATGCACCGATATTGAACAGTGCCGGTAGCGACACTATTAGGGCAAACAGCAACTTCCTTATCCCCTTTGCAGCCTGGAAAAATTGAACCGGTATAACTAAGTATCATGCCTAAGTGGTACAAAAAATAAATAATTAAATAAATAAAGGTATAAAAATAAAAAAGGAAAAGGGGGAGAATTCTTTGTTGATTATGGAGGGGTTTGATGATGGCCACAGACAAGACCAAGTTCTACGGATAACACTGTATTTTTCAGAAAGAGGAAAAAAATAATCTATTACTCCTTCATGGTAACTTTACAGAAGGGGATGGCTGAAAAAAATAAAAACTAGCAAAGTCTAGTATTTACATCTTATTAGAAATATTTCCAAGGACTACCTGCTAAAAATCTGATACGGTAAAGCAAAGTAAGCTAACATTCCTATTATATACATTGCCTACATTGATTACATATTCAATAGTCATTTGGAAAGATTTAGAAAAAAAAGAATGAGGTAAAAAAGAACAAAAAAATCTTGTACATACTGATAGGTAGCTTTCCAAATAACTAAGTATGGGCAATTGATAAACTGACCTACCAGCTAGTCTAATGGACATCCCCTTTCAAAAGGAAAAAATAGACATATCCTAAAAAAAAAAAAAAAACTGTCTGCACAATGTATTATCAATAATAAAACATTAATGATGACACTAAATACAACTAGACTGGAGACAGGGTGTAAAACAGAACTTACTGTGTCTGGATGAGAGTTGAGTGTTGAAAATTTAAGTCATCAGTTCATATAAAAATACACAAATAAAACTCTCTCTGTTGATTTATAAGCAATATTTAAACATGCATATGCCATATGTGATTTGTATCATCTGACAAATTAGTCCTAGGGTACAAATGAAATTAGATTTGTTCTGATTTTTTAAAATAGTTTTATCAAGCACACAAGGGCATAATACTAACATACTTATAAACCAAATAATGAGGAGTTATTTTTTGTGTACTGGAGTTAGAGTGCTAAATTTCACACACAGCAAGAGGAGCTAGACCACAAAACAAAGCCGCAAGGGGCTGAGGAACACAAACAAATGCCAGCTAACACCTGGATTGAGATCATGAGGCACATGCTCCAGATATCAAGGCAAGCATGTATACCAGCACTGTTCAAGGCCCCACACCTAGAAGTCTCGTTCTATGTTCCACCTGCGTGCTGACATTGAAATGAAGCCTAGTGTTTTTAGTAGTAGTGAGGTGTCATAAAAAAGAGAACACAAAAAGCAATTCTAGGATGTGTCTGTCTTGGAAGTCACAAGTGCGCTTCACTACTACATCAACATCTCGCTTGCATACGACTTCCAGTTATCAAAAATACAAACACTATTGAGAGTGTCATCATCAGAGTATAGAGATCAAACCAAAGCAAGGCAAGTTCAATTACAAGACAAAACATTACCATTTAGATCTCTCATTCTTATTACTATATATATCTATTTATGTAATCAAAATCTGTTTCTTGTTTAGGGTTTCACTATCCAAGATAAAAATATCTTACTAGATTACGCCTTTATTTAGTCATTGAGAACGGAATCAATTTTCTCTCTACTTTTACATGTCTATTTATATTCTTCATGCACAGCTTCTACTGACGAGTTATTCAATAAAACTTTACTGATTTACTGTTTGTGCTTCAACTGTATACAGACTGAACTAATCCAGAGATAAAAAGGTCAGCCTAAATATCTCTGGATCATGCCTAATACTTTGTCTCAGCCCATTAGGATGTGTGTTTGATAGTCGAAGTAGACATTGTGTAACTTCCATTTTGTGTGATGGTTTGGATGGTAGGAGATTTTGAAGAGTAATAACTGATTATAGCACCAAAAATTGTGTGGTACCAAAAATACCATAAAAATGATAAGAAAAACACAAAACAAAATAAATAATCTTTCTTTTAATTACAATAATGATTATTAGTATTTACTATTTTTTAAAAACACCAACACGAACTCCAAATTTTTTGGAAAAAAAAAAAAAAAGGAAATCATCACAACACATTCCACCTGGGCGTGCTCTCTGAGGTTGTTAAGTCCAAGACAATATTACAGTATAAGAAAACATGGGAGTTGCTTGCAAAGTGGAAGGTGCAATATTGCAAGTGGTTGTGGACGTTATGGACGTTAATTCGTAAAGGCTACCTGACCGAAGAAGGAGTTTCGGCCGTTCACCGTCGGCTGTTGGGAATAAGGAGGTTAAAGACGAGGGTGTTCCAGTACTGTACTTTTGACACTGTATTGCTGCTAACTCACACAAATGACCTTGGGAAACCATTCATAATAAAGTGTTATCTTTTATCCTGAGAACAAAAGAAACAAATGATGAATAGCTAAGTGGATACTTAGTCTCATGTCCTATTTAGAAGTACTTGCAACTCTAAACTTGATACTGAAAAAAAAAAAGGGTCAAATCAACATTATGAATGGTTTTGACATAATGCACATCTTATACGTGATCAGCTACCTTTTAGGACATTTGTCCATGATCTTGGATTTTTATCAGGCCATGTAA